ATGATTTGTATTTGACTGTGTTTGAGATACAGTGATATTAAAAACCTGGAGTACTTGGTATGACCCATTACAGAAATAACCACCCAGCACATACAGTCTTTGTTCAGCCAGCTGAGAGCTATGTTCCTGATATTTTCCTTTTTCTCCTGGGGAGGAATGGTTTAATTCATGGCTCCAAGGGCCAGAGGGTGGAATTTATAGCAAGAAGATAAGAGAAGTGTGTGAAAAAAAGATCTCAGTCCTTTTCCCCCACCAAGAAGGATATCTGCTTTTTGGTATCAGCCTTGTTTTTCAGAGCACTGCAGCATTCAGAAATTACAAACCTAAAGGGGTTATAGGCATATTAGAATGTTCTGTAGCCAAATACTATATTGCATGGCAGAAGTGTAATTAGCTTCGCTTGTAATTTGTACAATGTCTCATGCATTAGGTTTTAAGTCGGTGAGTGTGCTAGACAGGCAAAGATTGGGGTGAATATCCTATGCCAGAGTAGCCAGAATTAAGAGTGGTTTTACAGTGAGGGAGTTTCATTAGTTCCTTCTGGTTTGAACCTATATTAATATGCATCCAAGTGAGGATCTTCTTCGTAGCAGCCTCTAATGCATGTTAGTATTTTCAGCTGTGATGGGTTTAAATGTTTATTAGCATTTAGCTGTAGCTTAATACATACTAACTGAATCAGACCTTAAAGGTGGGCGCCATGCACACTGACCCGAAGTTTTCAGCTTAATTGGATAAGCAAATTGGGTACAAAGATTAATAGATTTATGGAAGCTGTAATAGTGGTGGTGTGCTCTGCTGTGTTTTTATCATCTTGCTGGCTTTGAGGATGATGCTTAAAAGCATAAGTGAGTGTCTCAGGGTGCTTCAGTGAGCATCGTGCACTTCTTGGGTGTGCAGGGAATGGTTACTTAATGAAGAAAGACAATGTATTCCATAATTTCCAACATATAAATCAGTTTGGTTTTGTTTAGATTATTTGCTTAGTTGTTTGGGCACTTTTATAATGTTTACTGAGTGTGTTGCTTATTTCTCACTTGTGGCTTTGCTGGCTTCCTGACAAGACAGTAAGTGAAATAGACTCGTATAATGATTTCTCTAGGTTTTCAATGGCATTTGAAATATCTCTTGGAGCCACCTGTTAGAACATCTGAAAAAAATCATTTAGATCCAAATATTATAACAATTTAAAGGAGTACGTACAGAGTGTTATAGTGAAAGACACCAAAGCGCATTAAAAAAAAATGAAAAAAAGTCCCAAGGACTGTAATTAGAAGATAATAAAGGGAGGATAAAGTGCTAGAAATATTTGTTCTATCAGTCATGGTGAGCTGTGACCAGCTTTTCTGTCACTAATCCTTTCCTTCCTGTCTCCATTGCCCCAAATAAGGAGGAGATAGCAAAAAAAAAGGATGTAATAGAAGTGACAGGTGCAAGCAAAAGTGGTCTCTATGAAGGAAGATATTAAACTATATGGATTCTTCTGGGCACCTGAGATTTATCAGCATATTAAAGAGAAGACTGAAGAAGATAGGCTGAAAAGATTATTTTTCTTTTCTTGCTGCGTGAGAACAAGGAGTCATTCAATTAAATTACAAAGAAAGCTAAAATTGATAACAGGAAATGTTTCTCTTTGAACGATTGCTGTTTGCAGATTTTTGCTACAATGTGCCATTGTAGCACAACAGTTTGGCAATCTATGTTCTTCCCTGTTGTTGCTTAGAGAATATTTGGCGATACAGTTGGCACCAAACTTCTGAGGCTGGGGAAGGAAGAAGGAAAACTTGTGGCCTGTGGAGGATAAGGACTACGTGAACAACATGTTGGTATTGAGAACGTGTTTCTACAAGCAAAGGAGAATTTCTCTCTGTATAAAATTGTGTTTCTATTGATGTTGCTCCAGATGGAAAAGAAAAGCAAAGAGAAAATTGATGTGGAAAGAAGAGTGGTGTGTGTGAATACATGCTGGTGTGTCGGGAGCTACCCCATTGATCATGGCACTCCTGGCTCTAGCATCATGCTGGAGAGGAGGGTGGTCCCCATGCCTGATCTTCCAGTGATCTCTCTAAGGAACAGATTTCTGGTCATGATGGTGATGTGTCTCTTCTGCTTGAACTGGAGAAGTGAAAAAAGAGCCAGTCTGTGAATAGCTGATGTCAGAGTGCATTTGCCCTTCAGACTGTATTTACTCTTTTCTCAGATTAGAACAGATTTTGTATTTGTTATTATTTATTTTAGCCATCATTTGGGTTATTTTGTTTGTAAATACAGTGTTTAGAAATCAAAAGTTACAGCAGGAGCATGGGTGTAAAGGGTTAGAGGCAGAATATGGCCAGGCTACTTGTTGATCTAGAGAGGGAGATTGTTCTTTGGCCTCAGCTCAGGTAATCTGGTGTTCCCTATGCATCAAATATCACCAATTTGTTGCTTCAGTGTGGGAACTGCAGTGGAAGCGGTAAGGTGGCAGGTTGCTGGAGGTATCCCTGCCAGCTTGATCAAAACCTAGAAACTTTTCCCTAACTCTTTTCCTCATTTTGTTTGAATTCCACCGTGTTTCTACCTGGCTTGAGGAAGACTCTGCTCACCCTGGGTTAAATGCAAGTGGGTCTCAGAGACACGGTATGGTCCCTGCATCATCCTTGCTGATGGACATTTCTATTCCACAACTGAGGCAATGTAACTGGGAAAAAAGGCTTTCAACTTGGGGTCAGTAACTAGAAAAACCTACAGGAATAAGTCTGCTGCTAGGAAACAAAATGTCAAAGCAAACAAAATAAAAACAGCAGCATTGGGTCGTCAAAATGAGAGGGGTGGAGACTAACAGGAAGGGAAAATAGGAAGCAGAAGAGCCTTGGGAAGTGGATGTTGAGCTGGGCTCTGCCTTTATTTACAAAGTTGGTACTTCAGCAAGGTTTCTGTGCATGTAGGCGAGCAAAGCGGAGAGCAGCGGCAGCAGATGAGTTGTTTAAATGAGTCCCAACAGTGTGTTTCATAATGTTTTGTGCAAATGTGTTTAGCCTAGTAACTTCTGTTGCTGGCATGTGATGTAATGCTGCCAGGGAGGCCTGTGGCTGCCCTGTCAAGATTTTATGTAAAGAGGGAAGAGCCTAAGTGAAAGCTCTCAGCTGAGAGCAAATTCAGCCATGTCTCAGTGAGCTTGCACAGGGCAGCAGGTGCTGCTCCAGCCTGGGAGTCCATCCATCTCCAGTCAAATAGGGTTGGCATTTATTTCTTTTCTCTTCCCCCTGTAAATCTGTTCATCTTGCACCTCAACCTGAGTTCATTGAAAAAAGAAAGACCCAACATGCCTTTGTATATCTCAGATGTCCCTCTGTGAGGGTCAGAAAATTGTTTTTCATTCTCAGTGATGCTGTGAGGGGAAAAAGCAATTTCAGTTTGTCCATGTGCACTCAGGTACTGGGTCTGAATTCTGGAGATAGAGGTGAAAATGCTTTGTTAAGCTGATATATCCATGCTGGCACACCTTCCTATTTGGACAGAACTTGTTACTGCCTTGTGAATGCATGGAATATTGTTAAGCTTATTATTTTTTGTATGGAATATAACCTGCTGATATTAATCATTTATTCTCAGTATAAATGGGGGGAGGATTGTGCAGCTTTAGTTACACAGCAATACCGTTAAAGGATTTTTTTATAGATGCCTGAACACCCTGCAAGTGTGGTAGGGTTAGTCATAAAATTATTTAAATAAGTCATTAAGTAACTGGCTATACAACCTCATTCAAATTAATGAGTGTAAGAGTAGAGTTCTTTGAAAGCAGTGGTTGATATCTGTCTGCATTCATCCAACAGTTGTATTTCTGTTGCCTGTTCCTGCATTTTTCGTAGTGATCAGGAAACAGAGATAAGTAATTTTTGGTCAGCTGTGCAATAGTTAGAAGGTAAATATGCTATGGGTTTTGGAAGCAGCTGTCAGGTATATATTTCTAAGGACATGGGTATATACTGTAATTTCTGTGTGTGACTTTGGGACTGTACAGGAGTAAATCTGCAGGTTTTGTCAGCTTTCTTACTCAGTTTTGATGATGATTTGACTACTTCTGCTTCACAGAATGAGGATGGTTGCTCAGCTGTTAACCACGGAAGAGGCTGTCTGTGAGGATATTCCTGTGCACACAGGTGTCCATTCGACCATTCCCTTACGATGCATATACAGTAGGTGATTTTGTTTCAGCTCTTTTCTTCTTGTCCTTCCCTGCTGTGTAAATGCTCAGTATGAATCAACTCAAAGATTAGTCCACCAGTAAGTTTTCAAATATAATTCACTCATTGATTTTTGTCATCTTTTCCTCTCAGTTGCCTTCTTTGTGAAGAAAACTAATTCTAGAGCATCAGCTTTCACTGACAGTGGGTTAATGTAAGGGAGTGTTTTGGGGTCCCAGCTGGGATTCCTCATATCCAATGTGTCCTCTTCAGCCTCAGGTGCTTAGTTTGTGGAGCTGTTTTTCGTGTGTGTTTGTCCACTAACATGACACATAAGAATCCATGTAGCCTAGGAAATAGCCAACAAAACCCTACACAGGCTGGAAAAGTGTCAGCTGAAATGATGGTGGCGGCTTTGCCAGCGTGGTTCATGTGCTTGCATTATCACGATTTAACTCCCATCAGTAAGTTCTGCACAGAATCACTTTCAAATTGGCTAAATCTCAAGTTTTTACAAGCTGAGACTTGGCAGAAGAAGAAATATAATGTCTCCTCTTAGCAATCATGAAGTAGTGGGCAGACATTGCATTTTTTGTGTAGGAATAAATACTTGTTCTGACTGTTTTCCTTCTAAATAATCAAACCTACCCACCAGATTGTATTTGGAAGCACTTACTAATGTGACATGCTCGGTTTTAACTGTTTAGAAAAATGACTGAAAGTTTCAAGATGAGACAACATGAATCATAGTCTTGAGCGGCTGTTCACTTTTGTGATTGACTTGCTTTCTTCCTACATTCCTTTTAGTCACCCTGGGAATCGCTGAAGCTGTTTTGTGCAGGAGGCATTGCTGAGATTCCCCTTGCAGCAATGGACTTGGATAAACCATCCGTATGGGGATCCCTGAAGCAGAAAACTAGACCGTTCCTGCAAAACCTGAGCGTGAGGAAGACGAAGAAGAGGTCTAGCAAAATGATGGAGAGGAAAGTCCACTCCTTGGACCGATGTCTCAGCGTGTCAGTGCCTGACATGCTGGAGGTGGAGACTCTTATGGAAGAAGAAACAAATTATTCGAGTACTCAGGTGTTGTCGAGCTGCTCCCCCAAGAGCCTCTCCAGGTCTGTGGTGTCCCTGAAGAGCAGAAGCACTTCGGCGAGGGCAGCGGGTGAGGACTGGCCGTGGACATCGCAGCAGGCGACGCGGATGGAGGTAACGGTCACTCCCCCGGACACACAAGCTGCAGGCAGCCCCACGTCCGAGGGGAAGAGGAAATCTAGCGATGACTTCTTTGAGCTGCTGCAGAGCTCCCGCCTGAGTGCTGCGCTGACAGATGAGGGGTCAGAGGTAGGTGTTTGATCATCAGTGGCCACTTTTTCCTCGTTGTGCTTAGTTGTCTGGGTTATAAAGGAATGGAGTATCTAACCGAGGCAGAGGATTAGAGCTACATGACCTTAAAGGTCCCTTTGAACCCAAACCATTCTGTGAGGAGGGGGCACTATACAAGGAATGAATGGGGGATAAAAATAAGCATAAACTTTACATGGTATACACACACTATTCAAGACTAATTTAGATATCCTTTCTGTCAGTCTGGAGCTGCAAAATAAGCCTGCTCCTTTTTTTTTTTTTTTTTTTTTGGATGATACTTCAGATTTTCCAGATTTGTTGGAATTGCTTACTTAAACCAAAAGTTGTTACAGCCCTCTGAACTCTGAAATGTGATACTGATAGACTTGCTTTTTAGTTAATATAGCTTGCCAGGATTGATATACAGCAAAATCAATTTACCACCCACCCACTCAAGACCCAGCTGAAGGCAAAAGGTGAAACATAATGGTGAGCACGGTGAGTTCTGCCTATGCCTGGAATTAACCAAAACAAGTGCATGATGGAGAAGAGAACATGTAGCATCATGCTCAGGGCTGTCCTTTGGGGTTTTGTGATGATGATTTAGAGGAAGTGCAAAACGAATGTTTCTTCGGCGTTCCCAGTCTTGTCCTTTTTCCTTCACGCCTCACACTCTGTGATCGCTATTATTGTGGCTGGACATAGTGTCCCATGCACAGGAGGATCAGAGACTAATGTGCTCCAAAACTGACACAAAACTAATTCCTGCCTGGCCTGAGCAAATGGGGAATCCTGTGGAGTTGCACAGTTGTTTCCTAATAGGTGAAACTGATGGTAGGTGAAGGTTGTGGCTGCATGAAACAGTTCAGGCAAAATTTCTTTTGTTTATATTTGGTGGAAGTGTGTCTCCTCTTGAGTTCTCAGTGGGAAGGTTAGATTTTGAACTTTTTGAGGTCTTTTTTCCCATTATCTAGTTGTTGCTGTTACAGTAGCTGATGTAAAAATGGAAACTATTTTGGTTTAAAGTCCTCTTTTGAGAGTGGTGATTTCACAGGTTAATTAATAGCTTTTAACTGCATGTTCAAAATGATGGCTAGTGCTGCTGTGGGGAAAATGGTCCTTTCTGAAATAAACTGCTTGTTCTGCATCTCAAAGGACTGTGTGTTCCTGTCAAATCAGTGTTGGCTACTAGTCTATTGTGATGCAAAGTGTCAGACTGGTCCTTACTGACTATCATTTGCAGTTTAGTTTTGCTAAATTGTTCACAAATTGGCTGCATTTTACTGGAGTGTACCTTTCTTCAGAGGACTGCATAAGAAAAGTGGCTGAAATAGTATATGGTTTGTTTCTGTGCTCAAACTTTACTCACAAGTTTTGGCACCTCACTCAGTATATGGTAAATACACAGACTACCATTATTTTGGGAGTTTTTCAGGCTGTTTTAGCGACAGCAGCAGTTTTTTCCTGCTGTTGCAGGCCAGAAACCCTAATCTAAAATCTACCACAGCAGCACCAAAAAGAATCTTAAATCCTGCTTTGACTTTGGGCAAACTAAGTGTTTCTAGGAGAAGGAAGTACATGAATAGTGATGGAATAGCTCAACTTCAAGTCAAGTTTCCTTCAGATGCACAATCTGAATTTTCTGAAGCATTTATGTCTTTCACTAAGTGTGTATTTTGATATGGACATGTGTGTCTAACTCATTTAGTACTTAATTTTATGGCAAATCAATCTAGGTATGCGAATATCGTTTCTTCCTGTAATCTGCCTCCAATACAACGTTTAAAAGCAGAAAGATCTTATTCCTCAAAAATACATAGGAGAGAGTGAGGG